CAGGAGGAGGAGGAGGAGGAGCAGGAGGGGGGAGAGGAGGAGGAAGAGGAGGAGGATGAGGAGGAGCAGCAGCAGGCAGGAGGAGCGAGGAGGAGGAGAGAAGAAGAGGAGGAGGAGGATGAGAGGAGGGAGGAGGAGGGAGAGGAGAGGAGAGAGGGAGGAGAGGAGGAAGAGGAGGAGGAAGGAGGAGGGGAGGAGGAAGGAGGAGGAGGAGGAGGAGGAGGAGGGAGAGAGAGGAGAGAGGAGGGAGGCAGGGAGCGAGGCGGGTTGTGGAGGGATTTCGACTGAGCTGCCTCATTCGTCGCTCGCCCCCCATCGCCACGGAACCTCCGCGGCCGCCCCGGCTCGAGAGTTTCGCACCGCGCCCGGGGGTGCCCCGCCCCCCCCGCCGCCCGCGTCCTCCTCCTCCTCCTCCTCCTCCTCCTCCTCCTCCTCTGCTCTGCCTTCTGCCTCGTCCTCCTCCTCCCCCTCCTCCCTCCTCCTCCTCCTCCTCCTCCTCCTCCTCCTCCTCCGCCTCTCTGCTCCTCCTCCTCCTCCCCTCCTCCTCCTCCACCTCCACCTCCACCCCTCCTCCTCCTCCTCCTCCTCCTCCTCTTCCTCCTCCCCCTCCTCCTCCTCCCCCTTCTCTCTCTCTCCCTCTCTTTCTGTCGACTACTGGTAGGATCCTCCAGGATCAGAAAACCTTTAGCCATAATAACAGGGTGTCGACGTGGCCTCACTTACAGCCAACCCGCATGAGGAGGATGGGCATCCTTCCCAAGGGTACACTTGTATGCTTCCCTCCACGGTCCACCCTTGGCCACTTTTGTTGGCCTCGCCCCGCTCGAATAGCTCCGAAATGTCCTTCCAAGGCCGTTGGATCCTCATTGCGTATCCTCATGATACGGGTCGACTGTAGGTCCCCACCTTTGCATCGGAGATAATATATCTGGGCGGTTTGCCTTGATACATCTGCAGAAGAGGCCTCCATGTCCCTAGTATTTTTGGCCCTAGGAACTTCGGTCCCCTCCCAAAGGGTTATGGGTTCTTGTATTGCTAATCATAGAAGTGACTCTTCGCCGGAGTGACCTTTGGTGCGGCTTACCGCCCCCCCCCCGATTGCTGAGCGCGATGCGATAGTGGTTGCTTGCGCGCTTGGGCTTGGCCACCTTGCGCCCCACTTGCGACTCAATCCGCGCACTGGAGGTCACTCTTGCCCAGGATCACTATTGGGCGCAGCCGACTCCCTGTCGCGCGGTGGGGAGGGTCGCGACCGAGGCTTCGAGGACCGAGGTCCGGATTTTCTGCGGCGTGCCCAGGGGAGGAAGAGAGAGGGGCAGGCCTTCTCCCCAGATATCCAACGTATTGAAAAAAAATCAAGACGGAGGTTTTTCTCAATTTTCGGCCTCTAGGGGCCCTCGCTGGGGCCCGGGACCGTCAGAAAACGACTCAGGACGAGAAACGGGCCCCGCGGAATGGGACGATACTCCCGGGGACCGCGCCTTGAAAGAATCGCGACGTCGGATCTCTGGGTCAGAGGCGGGCCGGGCTTCTCGGAACTCTCCCGGCCTCCGGGGAGCTGCCCGAGCCTTCTGCGAAGACGCGGGCGGCCTCTCGGGAGGCGGGAGGGCCTCTGAGGCCCCCAACCGCCGCCTTCTGCGAGAATCGCGACGTCGGATCGCTGGGTCAGGAGCGGGCCGGGCTTCTCGGAACTCTCCCAGCCTTCGGGGAGCTGCCCGAGCCTTTTGCGAAGGCGCGGGCGGCCTCATCGGGAGGCGGGCGGGCCTCTGCGAGGGCCACCACCGCCGCCTGCTGCGAGGGCCTGCCCCCTCGCGTCACTTCTCTCAGGAGGAGAAGAAACACACAGACACAATTCATCGTCGGTTCCTGGGAAAAGATGGGAAGATATGGGCAGTGGGGGGGAAGACAGAAACCCAGAAAATATGGGAATACATGGGGATTCTTTCAATTTGTGTGTATTTATTTTTGTGTGTGTGTGTGTGTGTGTGTCCTGGGGCCTCTTCATTCTCCCCCGGGCTCGCCGCTGGGATCTGCCCTCGCCGCTCAGGTTTGCCCGCAAGCACCTGTCTGCAAAGCATCTCCACCCTGGGCGAACGCTTCCCCCGACTCCGAGGAGGTACCCATGCCCTGGTACCCATGCCCTCTCTGGGCCTCCTGGGCGGCCCTCGTCGCCACCGCTGGGTTCGCCTCGACATGCTGGTCGGAACGCACCCCAGGAGAGGTGCGGGGGGTGGCAGGAGGAGAAAAAACACAGACACATGTAATCGTCGGTTCCCCAGAAAATACGGGAAACTATGGGCAGTGGGGGGGAAGACGAAAACCCCCAAAATATGGGAAAGTAGGGATATTTTTACTTGTGTGTGTATTTGTTTGTGTGTCCTGGGGCCCCTTTACGGCGGCGGCATCGGTGCCCTTTGCTCGGCACCCTTCTTGGCTTCCCCACGGGCGCAGTGCGCTTTTGTGCTGCCGCCCGGCGGGGGGGGGGGGGGGCCCAGGCCTCCGGAGGCCGGGGGCCCGCCGTGGCCTCCCGTCGTGATCGAGCAGAGTTGCCCGGGGGTAGAGTCGGGCACGTCCATTTATCGCCTCCTCCTCCTCCCCCTCCTCCTCCTCCTCCTCCTCCTCCTCCTCCTCCTCCCAGCGTACTTACGGACCACATCCCAGAAATAGTGCTCGAGTGCCCGGAGAATAGTGTCAAAGGAGTGCCGAAACGGTGTCGGGCGAGTGAAAGCCCTGGAGTTTCGGTATTTTTTTGCTGGTGCTCGAAACTCACTCTGGTGATCAAGGGGAAAGTCACCACCCACCAAGCCACCCCAACCCACCCCGAAGGCTCTGATTTACCCTCGATTTCCAGTGGGGGGGGGTCGGGAAACATCGGCAAGAACACATGCAGAACCCTTGACCCCCCCTCCCGACCCGAAATTCGGGTCTCTTCGGGTTGGGTTGGGGTGGTCTGGTAGGTAGTCAGTCTACTGGAGGAAGATCCCCAACTCAGACATTAACTGGTGCGGGGCCGTTTTCTTCTTTTTTTTTTGCCAGAGTTCTTCCACATGTTTGCATCGTGTGGTGACCATGTTCATTGTTTTTCCAAGATCCGCCTGTAGGAGGACATGCCCGACCTGAGTCGAGAGTTCTGCGCCGAGAAATCTGTCGGGCAAGGGTCGTCGAGGCACCGGCGCCCTTGCCCGGCTTTTTTTTGGATGCTGCTGCTCGTCCCACCGGGTGTCCCCGGAAAGCTTCCCGGTCGGATCCGCCCCGAGGCACGGGCCCGGATGGGCCCCAGGAGGGTCTGTCGGGGCTCAAGAGACGGGTCTCAGTGCACACGTCTGGGGCGGCGAAGAGGGGGGGGGATGACCAGGGGGATATTATGGCGGGGGCCATGATATCTCCCCCGGACTTCACGGCGCCCTTTCTTACTTCAATACGTCCCTGCCCCCCCGCCCCCCCTGTGCCGCGCACATGCCCCTGGCTATGTTTTTGTACCCCCCCCCTTGGACGCCCTTCTCTTGACCGCCCCCGAGTCTGTCGGGGCTCAAGAGACGGGGGACAGAGCAAACGTGGGTTAGCCAGAGCGCCAGATCTTGCAGGATCCTGCAGGGCCAGGATCGCATTGACCCCGGCCTGGGTGCAGGATCCTGCAGGATCCTGCAGGATCTTGCAGGATCCTGCAAGGCCTGACTGACCCGGGTCTCGATTGGCCCTGGGCAGCAGGTCCCCGAGATTGGGGATCGATGTTGAGCGGATGTGGGCCGGGCAGGAGTAGGGGAGCGAACAATGACAGCACCACAAGAACTCGGAGATCCGCGCGGATCTCTCGGATCGGCGCTGGGGCCGCCTGGTGGCGCCTCCGGCGACGTGTTTGGCGCGCTCCTCGCGCGCCAAGGAGGGGGGGGGGGCTTCAGCGCGGATCTCAGAAATCCGCGCGGACCTCCGAGCTATTGTGTGCTTGTGTCACATGGGTGGCCGCGGGCCGGCGTTGTCTCGGCGGGCCCTCCGATCCCCAGGCCGCCCAGGTGGGGCCAGAGTGGACTGTGGGGGCATCCAAGAGGTGGGTGGGGACCAGGGGGGGAGGGGCGCGTTCGGGGGCAGCGATGGGGGGGGATAGGCATAGGGGGGGATGCCTCGAGCCCCAATCGCCCATGGATCGCCGATTGGGGCCCGAGAGCCCCAACCTGCACAAGAAGGTGCGGATTCACTTTCTTGGGTTCACCGCCGATCGATCGGCGACGTGTCACCGATTTCAGGTCGATGCATCCCCCCTGTGCCAGTCCCCCCAATCGTGGCCCCGATGGTGTGGATATCGTGGCGGAGGCAGCGAAAGCTCCCAGGTGCCGCGGCCTCTTGTTTGAATATTTGCCGATGCAGCCCCTGGCCCTCCCCCCCTCGCCCGCGCACGTGCATCTGGCCATGGTGCGCCCTGCCACCGAATAGTGTAATCAGAACCTCTTGCCACCGTCGTCGTCGACGCCGCTCTATTCCTCGCGCTCCCCATCCTGCTCCTCCCCCCTCCCCTCCTCCCTCTCCTCCTCCTCCTCCTCCGCCTCCTCCTCCTCCTCCTCCTCCTCCTCCTCCGCCATCCTCCTCCTCCTCCTCCTCCTCTCTTCTCCTCCTCCTCCTCTTCCGCCCTCTCCTCCTCCTCCTCCTCCTCCTCCTCCTCCTCCTCCTCCTCCTCCTCTTCTGCCTCTTCCTCCTCCTCCTCCACATCATCATCATCAACATCATCATCATCATCATCATCATCCACCTCCTCCTTCTCATGTCCTCATGCGCTCTGCTTCTGCATCCTCCTCCTCCTCCTCCTCCTGGCTCTCCCGCCTGCCCTTCTCCTTATCCTCCTCCTTCTCGTCTTCCTTCTCCTCCTCCTTCTCCTCCTCCTCCTCCTCCTCCTCTTCCTCCTCCAAGCATCCTCCTCCTCCTCCTCCTCCTCCTCCTCCTCCTCCTCCCCGACGTCTTCCTCCTCCCCTCCTCCTCTTCCCCCCGCCTCTCCCTCCTTCCCGTATGGAATGAGAGACGCCCCGCCCTGTCTCCTGGCGACGCTAAGCGTCTTGTGCCTGCTCTCGGCGGTGTATGTTCTGGATGAGTTCTCGCTGCGTCGCTGGACCGCAGACGGGAAGCGCTGAAACTACTTCTCCTCCCCCCGGCCCCAGGTCGGAGGAAGTATATGGACCGATACTGCTACCCCTCCCCCCGTCACCACAGCTGGATTCGCCGCGAACTCCTGGTCAGAATGCACCCTTTGGGGAGGTCGAGGGAGCAGTTTAGATTCAAATGCCAATGTAGGTGCGTGCGACGGTTTCCACGCAATGCCTTGGCGTTGTTCCGATTGTGCAGAACAGTCCCCGGCAATGCTCCGAACGATGCAGAAATTTGGCCAGAAGGGGCCAAGCCAACAGCAAGAGCGCCCTCGGCAGACCCACTCGACGGCAGCCCGCGCGGAGTTTCCGCAATCATTTTTAGTGCGCCCCCCCCAGCGAGAACCGCGGTCACGGGGGAGGGGGGGCGGTCACGTGGAACGCGGTCTGACCACCTTCTTATTCCTGGTCTCCCAGTTTCGAACTCGCCCGCCGCCTCCTCCTCCTCCTCCTCCTCCCCCTCCCTCCCCCCTCCTCCTGCTCCTCCTCCTCCTCCTCCTCCTCCCCCTCCTCTCCTCCTCCTCCTCCTCCTCCTCCCCCTCCCCCTCCCCCTCCTCCCTCCGCAGCGAGCAGCGATCCAGAGGGGGGGGGGGGCGTGCTGCCGGAGCGCGGTCTGACCACCCCCTTGCTGCTCCACGGGGCGCTGCCCCCCGCCGTGGGGGCAGTCGCGGGGGGGGGGGGGGGGCCTGGCGGAGCGCGTCCTGTCCACGTCCTCCCACGAACTAAGATTAAGTCGGGCGTGTCCCCCTACAGGGGGATAGTCGACGAAGAGTAAAACATACAGAATCAATAGTCAAGACGTAGTCCAAACATAGTCTGGGACAATTGTTTTGACTATGTTTTGACCTTTTTGGAGTATTTGTGGGGTAGTTTTTATTTTTTGTCGGAAATCCCCCTGTAGGGGGACACGCCCGTCATAAAACTAAGCCGCCGAAGACGGAACTGCCCAGGAGCACTGTTCCCAGCCTCTTTCTGCGGTATCCTCCTCACCATTCTCCTCCACATCTTTTGGGGTATCTTCATGTTCGGCTCACCAGCACCACGGCGAAATGGGCACTCAGTAGTTTTGCGTGCTGCGAGGCGCATTATCCAGAGGGGAGGCCCCTTTGGGCCAGAATCGACGAGACCTTCGACGGCGGTGGAGGGCCTGCGAAGAGTCGTGCCACCACGGCCGTCTGTCGGGCCACCACATGTGCGCATGGCGGGCTGGCATGGGCGCGGAACAGGCACGGGTCGCATCTGCGGCGCGTTCAAGACGCGGGCACGGTGCCAGAGCTGATAGGGGGCTGGCACGACTGCTGTGGCGGATGGGGCGGCCGAGGTCACCGCAGGGGCAGATGGAGAGGCGAAGGCAGCGGAAACGACAGAGGCGGCGGAGGTTTGCCAGGGAACGCGCGCGGATGAGAAGGCGGCGACAGAGCGTAGCAGGGCACCAGTCGCGGACAGGAGCGCGGCGGAAGCGACAACCGCAGCAGAGATCGGCAGGGCCACGACGCCGGGGGAGGAGAGCGCAACGGCGATTGCAATCAGGACCAATGGGGCGGATGGGAATGCGACCGCTCCAGCGAGTTGGAAGGCGGCCGCAGTTGCGGGTGGGAAGGCGGCCGTTCGAGTGTATAGGGTCCAGCTTGAATGCGGAATATTTACTTTTCAAGTGGGGCTCGGCCGTTCTTTGGGGTTGCATGCGTTCCGCTACCTTTTTTGCGTCGAGCCCCCCTGGTGTTCCTTCGGATTTTCTAGTCTTCTTTGGAAACAAAAGGGCTTCGTTCCTTATTTATCGTTCCTTAGGTCAGGCCGAATACTGTATGGGAAGGCGACCCCTTCGAGCGGATACCCCTCGCAACGCTCTGACGAGCTGGCGCCGATCCACGCGAACCCGTCGCATATCATCACCCTGTGCGAGTGCGACGGCGCGACCTGCGCGAACACAAACAATCTGGGAGGGCGCCATGCACTTGGAAACGCCACCGCAGTTGTGGACGGGAGGTGTCAGGATCAATCTCGTTGTGTCTAGTTGTGCATCTAAAACGGCGAAGTTTCAGGGACCCTCCTCATTGGCATCACAGACCGCAGCGGCGGCGCCATTGACCGCGTGGACTCTGCGAGACCCTTCCACAACCAGGAGACGAGCAATGCGAAGGAGGAAACGAATTCACAGTTGTGGAAGAGGTTGGGTCAGAGTGGCACAACAACTACTCAAGGGTGGTGGTTGCGAGCGTCGACCTGGGCCATGGCGCGCCACACTTGGGGGAGTCTTTCGACGTCATGGCGGTGCACTTTCCCCACAGGCCGACCAGGACTGGGGCGCGACGGGACTCCATGACTTCTTTTCAGGTGGCTCGTCGCCTACGTCGCGTAGCACGACGTGAAGGTCTGCATGGCGGACTGAACATGTGCGTGCTTCAGATCGTGTTCGGGTGCCGCCGATGCGGAGTTACTGTGGACGCCGCCGCGTGAGCCCCTTGGCAGACAGCAGGTGGCCATCCCAGGGCACGCAGCATGGCGATTCTGTTTGTAAGCTGTCCTGGGGAATGCATGCTTCAGCGTGTATTGGGCGTTCTGTCTGACGCCAGCGGCGGCTTCTTGACGATCCAGCGTGGCCCATCTTCCCGTGCCTTCGACATCTCGAACGGCCCTGGAAGGTCGCCGCCTGCGCACCTGCCCAATGCAGATCCCGTCGCAGACAATATGTGCGCCTTCCTGACGCCATCTGGCGCTTCCGTGGCCGCAGCGGGGGACCTCGCGCGGAGGATAGCGCGGGGGGGGGCCTAGCGAGTGGGCGCCCCGCCCTGTTACAGCACGGCGACCCAAATTGGGCGACACTAGATCTTTGGCACGGCAGCGCAGGCGAAGCACGAACGGAGCATTTTCCCCACGGCGGCGCCCGCGCGCGGGCCGCGGGTCACTTGGCACATCCGCCTCTTGGCTCGATCAGAGGGGGCGGAGCGGCTGGCCGGAGCAACCGTGCGCAGACGTAGCGGCAAGAAGGACGCCGCACGTGCGGGAAGGGTGCCCAGACCGGCGCGCCAGAGGGGGGCCGCAGCTGTGAGGGAAGGCGTTGGGGCCGAGCGAACTTGGAACTCGCAGCAGCCGCATGTTGCCAACATCTATGGTGCGACCACCTTTGCCACAGTGGCGTTCGGGTTTTGCGGCGCCAGCGACGGCGGCGCACGGGATGCAGATGGTCCAACGAGCGGGGTTGGTGCGCTACGGGATGGCGTGCTGGCGGCGGGCAGTGGTAGCATGGTGTTCGCGCCGCTTTCGCGGACAATGCTGCGGAGGGCTCGTGTGTTGAGAGTTCGTGCGCACGGGCGGGCGACAACACGCGTTGGTTTCCCCGCGATTCGCGGGCTCCTGGTGGTAGTCGGCCTCCCACGCGTCCCAGTGTTCGGGCGCGCAGCTTTAGTGAATGCCGCAGTTGTGGGCAGTTGCAGCTGAGTTGTGATTGCCTCAACTGCGGACACTGCTGCGCGAGCGCAGGGTGACAAGACAACGCCCTCCTGTTGTCGCTGCCCGGAATATGCCGTGGCCATCTCTTTGTAACAGTGCCCGGGAGCGTTCGAAGCAGTGCGTGGACATTATATTCAATCGTTCAAAGCAGTGTTGGGGCATTGCTTTGAAGCGTCAATCCGTCGAACTTGTAAGCACTTTATGATGTTCAGCACAAGTAACTTCATGGTCTCCCAGGCTTGGGCTGGTAGGTAGGTATGAGGAGAAGGAGGAGGAATCGGAGGAGGATGAGGAAGAGGAGTGGGAGGAGGAGGACGAGAACAGCTGTGATGGGGAGGAGGAGAACTGAAGGAGGGCCATAATATAGAGCAGGAAGGAAAAGAGAGGGAGAGGCGGAGGAGGTTCAGGGACAGGCTTTCCTCGTGGGCCAGAGGCCAGAGTCGTTGTCCCTCTCCGCCGCCGCAGCAAGCGACCCCCCCCTCGACACTTCGTTGTAGCAGCGCGAATCAGTTGCGGGGCCGTGCCGCCTCGGGCATTCGCGATGTGAGAAAAGTGATTGTGCGGTGCCGCGACGTGGTCTTCAGGATGCGAGGAAAAAAGGGGGCATGCTCTGCCGCCCCTGGTTTCCAGAATGCGAAATCGTTGCCGTGTCCTGTCAAGCGCGTCATATTGTTCAGCGCTGGTGTTTGAGGCATCCAGGCTGGTGTAATCCTTCCTCCTTTGCAGAGGCCTCCAGAAGATTTTGTCGGCGTTGACAAAGGCAGCAGGGACACGCAGATCTTCGAGCCCCGACGATCGATCCGGCGGACCGCAGAAGATTCTGGTCCCGTGCCAGGTGTGGGCGTGGTGCAACACCTCGAACCGAGGAGCGAAGAGCAAGTGTATTGGTACTACCTGCCAGGAACAATGTTAGTGAGTCGGAGGAGCAATGGGAGCCGGTCGCGTCATGACGCTGGGATCGGAATGCCAGGGGGGTTGGCGTTCCGTGCCCGTGGGGGTGTCCGGAGGGTGCGTTTCTCGTTGTGTGCCGGGGGGGGTTGGCCGGAAGGGGGTTGTCGAGAGACGGTTATCCGGCGACCTTGGGCAGCTCAGCCATTGATCTTGTTTGGCCCCAGCGTTCTTGCGTTTCCCGTATACATTTGTTCTACACAAACTTCAGGTATTCGGCCTGCCCGCAAGAGCTTGATGGCGAAGGACATCTCCGTATCCGCTGCCTCGTGGGCCAGGCCCCTCGGGCCGTGACCCCGCGGATGCGGGGCGTTGTTGTTCGTGGATGCCCTGCGCGGAGCGCACCCGTGCGACCGCGCATCCGCGGGATCGCGCCCCAGAGTCCAGACCGCGGGGGCCTGGGCATGGATACCACGGGCCTCCCAGATGGGGTCCGACCCGATTGCCTCCGCGCCGGCGTGGCCGACGCACCGCCGACGTCGCCGATGCATCGCCGACGCAACAGAGGTGCGGCGCGATGGACATGGATCCGTGCGCCGCTCGTGACCAGGCCCTCGCAGACGGGGCGTTCGTAAACGGGTTGGCAGCTGAGGGTGCGCACTCAAAGATGTCTTCAAAACAATAATTTGCCGCGCGCAAGAGCGAGGTAGATCCCGTTATGATGATGTATCGATTATTTGTTGCCCTCCCGGTTTATCACGCGCTCGTGCGAGAGACATGCCCCGTCGCCCGGCTCTCGCTTGAAGAGGCCCCTTGGCTACCGCCCCGTTTGTCAACGCTCCGCTTGCAGGGGCTCGGCGTGAGGAGCCTCCTGCCGGGCGCCGCCTGGCAGGGCGACCCCGGCGCTCCCGCGGGCGCCCCCGCCGAGGGCGAGCGCACCGCTGCTCCCGGCGCGCGGGCAGGGCCGCCGAAGCCCGAGGTCCGGCCCCAGGTGGGCTCTTGGGCTCGTCCTCGTCGTCGCCGTTGCCGCCGCCGTCGCTCGCAGGCGAGTTCTCGCCCCCAAGCCTCGAACAGTGGCGAAGCAGTGGCCCACCAGAGGATGTTCCAGGTACCTTTTTTGCGGCCTGCACGATCTGCTCTCAGAACGCCTCTGGCTGAGACTGTCTCGTTCTAGCAGAAAGAGCGCATCTTTGGGTTCTAAGAACATGTCGTGATAGGCCTATAGGAATACCGGGACGGTCGGTCCCTGCCCAAAACCCATGGTTTGCCCGCGGCAGAATCAAGCCGCTTAGACAAGGGGGGACTCCGGGAATAGACCCCCGTGCGGCTATTCGGACGCACCCTAATCAAGGTTGTAGGGCCCCCTTATCACATATCCCCGAGTTGTCCACGAAGTCGGAGATTGGGGTCGACATATCCTCTGTCAGTCGCCCTCGTCCTCATCGTCATCGTCGTCCTCGACGTCGTAGTCCTCGACGTTGGAGGCTCGAGGTTTTCGGACGTTTTCGACGGGACTCGGCGGCTTTCCAGCCTCGTGATGCATACAGCGGCTGCGCCTCGCCGAGAGCGTTCTGGGAGTGCCCTGATCGTCCCAACTGGCCGCTGGAGGCCCGAGTTGTGATCCGAAAGTTACGAGTGGATCTATGGCAGGGCATGAACTCAATCTGCTTGATACGCCCTCCTACTCCGTGTTTTCACCTACTGAATCCGACCAATGTGTGCGTTGGATCGTTGCCGTTTGTTGCATGTTGCCATTATCTTGGAGAGCCTGTGCCCAATCTGCTTGATCCGCTTTCCTGATCCATGTCTACATATACTTCTTCCGACCGACGTTTATCTATATATATATATATGTGTGTGTCTTGGATCGCTGTTTTGTGGTGTGTTTTGATATGTTCTCTGGGAGGGCCTGAGTCCAACCTGCTTCTGCTTGATCCGCCCTCGTACTCCGTGTTGTCACTTACTTCCTCCGACCAACGTTTGCGTTAGATCGCTAGTCCATGCTGTGCTTTGCTGTGTTCTCTGTGAAGGCCTGAGCCCAATCTGCTCTATCCGCCCTCGTACTCCGTGTTTTGACCTACTTCCTCCGACTGACGTGTGCGTTGGATCGCTACTTCGTGCTGTGCTTTGTTGTGTCCTCTGGGAAGGCCTGAGCCCAATCTGCTTGATCCGCCCCCCTACTCAGTGTTTTTAGTTTACCTACTAGGTGCCGCCTACGATCCGAAGCGATGCGACTCGATCCGCCAGCCAGGGCCGTGATTCCGATTCGATGCGATCCGGTTCGGCTCGATCCACCGACCCAGAGCCAGCCAGAGCCAGGCGCAGCGATCCGATCTCGATCCGATTCGGGACGATTCGCGGGCGACGCGACCCGTTCCCGATCAGATCCTTTTTCCTCCGACCGACGTGTGCGTTGAATCGCCTGGCCGCTCCGCGGCGTGCCCCGCGGCCTCCTCCTCCTCCTCCTCCTCATCCTCATCCTCCTCCTCCTTCCCCCCTCCTCCTCCTCCTCCTCCTCCTCCTCCTCCCCCTCCTCCCCTCCTCCTCCTCCTCCTCCTCCTCCTCCTCCTCCTCCTCCTCCTCCTCCTCCTCCTCCTCCTCCTCCTCCCCCTCCTCCTCCTCATCCTTCCCTCCTCTCTCCTCCTCCTCCTCCTCCTCTCTCCTCCTCCTCCTCCTCCTCCTCCTCCTCCTCCCCCTCCTCCTCCGCCCTCAGGGGCGCCCCGTGGCGCGACGCAACGCCACCGCGGGCGCCGCGGCTGAGCCGGCGGCCCCGGGCCCCGCGCCGCCGGAGGGCGTCGCCCTCGCGCCGTCGGAGGCGCCCCGCGGCCGCCGACGACGACGACGACGACGACGACGACGACGACGACGACGACGACGACGACGACGAAGACGATGACGATGACGATGACGATGACATGGAGAGCAAGAATCCCAGGGACGCCCTCTTGCAGACCTTGAAGAGCTACGAGCACATCCCCAACATGCGTGTGGGGGGTATCAAGACGCGGGTCGCCCCTACGGTGCTGAGCAAGATCTACAGGGGGGGGCGGTCCGCGAAGCTCGAGGTCCAGGAGTGGCTGAGGAGCAAGGAGTTATCCAAGGCTCCCATCGCCAACGAGATGCTGGTGTTGGCCATGACTTTGGACCGCATGATGGTCTCAGGTGACTTCAAGGGTTTGATCAACTCGCAGGCCAGCGAGCTGAGTTGCCTCAGGATGTACGCGATCATGAAGGCCTACGAGGGTGTTACGTGCGAGCATGACTGGAAGAGGCCTCGTAATGCTAGCGGGGCGAAGTGGAAGTCGAAGGTCGATTGGTCGTTGGGTGAGGAGGAAAACGATCGTCGTCGTCGTCATCGTCGATCGTCGATCGTCGATCGTCGTCGTCGTTCGGGCAGGAGGGGCGGTCGGCGTCGGCCGCGAGGGGGCAGGCCGCCGAGAGCAGGCCAAGGTTCGGAGGCACCGCTTGGCGAGCGAGGGAGGGGTCCACGCTGGTCGTGAGTCTCCCGGGGATCGGTCGGGGGGAGTCTCCCGGGGATCGGTCGGGGATCGCCCGGGGTACTTTTCGTCCGGGGACCCCCAGGGGCCGCCCCGCGCGCGCGAACTAGAGATACTGTTAACCAGTTACCGGAGACCTTCGCACGCCTCTGGCCCGTTGGGCCGGCGAATTTCTCTGTGGATTCCCAGATCCCGATCACTTGCAGCGCCTTCCTTCTTCCAGAATCGATCTGCCGCGTCTGCAGTGTGGTTTGTGGATTTCTGGGAGAGGCCTGGACCCAATCTGCGTTGTCCGCCTTCCTACTTCATTTGTGACCTACTTCGTCCGACCGACGTGTGCTCCGCCTCTTGATATAAAAGGGAGGGGGTCACGACACTCCATGCGCTCCCTCCCCAGACCAGCCATGATAAGGCGGCCGTTGCCCAGATCCTCTTGGAACCCTCCACGACGGCTCCAATCAAGCCCCCCACATCAGACCACCTCCTCCCTTTTTCATGACATGTGGAGTACCCGTACCGTCGTGTCCTGCGTCTGGCGACCCATGCCTTCGACATTCCTATGGCAGCGTGGCCCTCGGAAGGATCTCGTGTCCTCCCGCGTGCTCTCCGAGATCGAAGCCGGCTGTGCCCACATCGCTACCCGTTCTCGTTTGCTAAGGAGGGAAAGAAACACACAGACACAATGAATCGTCGACTCCCCCAACAATATTGGAAACCATGGGAAGTGGGGGGAAGACGAACATCCAAACAACATGGACAAATATTGGGAATTCTGTGATTTGTGTGTATTTATTTCTGTGTCCCAGGCCCCCTTCATTTTCGTTATCCTGGGCCTCTGGAGGGAGGCCTCGTTGCCACGGCTGGATCCGCGTCGGGATGGTCGCTAGCCTGCGCCCCAAGGAGGGGTCCGGGGAGTACGGTCGGGGCGCTGAAGAAGAAACCCTTCTCGTTGGAGAGGGGCTCCGTGTTCCTTGGTTGTTTCACGGCTTGCCTCAGGTGTTCCTTGGGTTTTCGATGGGAGATCGAACTTTAATTGCTGGGAGGAAGGGGCCTCGTTCCTTCTTTAGGGTTCCTCAGGTCCACGTCCCGACTGCAGCGGCATCGGCGCCTCTCGATTCCCCCAGTCTTGGGGCGGTCTTGGGCGGTGCCTTTTGATTTCCCCGCAGGTGCCGACCAGACGAGTTTTTTTTGTCCCCGTGATCGGCCTCTGGAGGCCTGGGCTCCTGGCCTCTGAACTTCTCGAGCCTGGCGTCTTCGCCCAGGTTCGTGGCCCGGGCACCCTCGCAGGTCGCTCCGGCACGGCAACGCCAGGAGAGAGATGGGGTCCAGGCCTCTGGCCGTGATGTTTCGCGGTGTTGCCATTTGTCGCTACGTCGGATCTCAGGGGCACCGGTACCTTCGAATCATGGCTCAGGATTCAAGCAGTGGCAGAGCGTCTTGGCTCGCCTATAGGCCTACCACCGAATGTTCAAATAGCCTGTTTGTGGTTTGCACGACATGTTCTTGTAACATGTCTGGTTGGGACTGTCTTGTTTCAGCACGTCGGCTTTACGTTCTAAGAACATTTGCTTTGTTATTGGAACATTTGTGGGTTCTACGAAGATTTCGTGGTAGGCCTATAAGAATGCCAGGACGGTCGGTCCGTGCTCAAAGGATGAGGAGCTGGTCTTGTTGAGGGGGGCGAGATTTCCGAGGATCTCGACATCGAATATTTGGGAAGCCGGCTTTGGCGGTTTTGGAGGCGTCTTGCGTCTTCTCGCGAGCTTGTTTGGGGCCATCTGGACTGCCATTGGGGCTGCCTTTGGCTGTATGAGGCCCAAAGAGACGAGAACGCTGACATGTTTGAGCACCTCAGGGACACTGCGCATGTGTGCCTCTTGGCTCTTGGGGCCATGTTGGAGATCGTCTCGGAGAGCCAGTTTGGGGTTTCCTGGAGGCTGCTGGGCCGTCTGGGACTGCATTGGGCTGACCATCCAGCTGCAATTCCGCCACGCCAGCGCAGCATCCTGGGTGGCAATTCTTTAAGAAGGCAAGGGGCCCTGCTGGGGGCCTCTTGGGCCGGAAGGCTCGAACCATTTGTTCGTGTTCCCTCTCCTGGGCCCTCCTTTGGGCCCTCGTTGGAAGCCTTGGGCGGCTCTGGGCTGTCTTGAGGCCCTCTTGGGCAGTCTTGGATCTCTCTTGTGGGCCTCTGGAGCCGTCTCAGGAGTCTTCGGGGCCTCTCGAGCCGTAATGGAACGTCGGAGGCTCAAAAAGTCGAGAACATCGAACAAGCTTCGGGTCATCAAAGGTGTTTGCCTCTCGAGGCCCTCTTGGGGGCCTCTTGGGGCCCTCTTGGGGCCTCCTGAGCCCTCTTGGGCAGGAAGGCTCAAATTGCCTGTTCTTGTTCACCCTCTTGGAGCCCTCTTGGGGCCTTCTTGGGCACTCTTGGGCGCCTCTTGGGCCGTCCTGGAGCCCGCCCGCGTGTGCCCTCTCAGGGGCCTCTTCTCGGGCCGTCTCCAGGCAGTCCTGGTGGCCTCTTGGGTCGTCTCGGGACGCTAGACTCTCGCAAAGGCGAGGACCCAAACTACATTGAAGAAAACAAAGGGAAGTCAATCAGTTGTGCCCCATCGACGCCCTCTTGGGACTGGCTCTTGGAACTCTCTTGTTACGCCTCGACGGCCTCGTGAGCTGTCTTGGAGCTTTCTTGGGCCATCCCGAAGCCAAGATGGCCCGTCTTGGAGCGATAGGGCTGTCTTTGAGGTATCTGGGCATCGGGAGCGCGAATCTGTCGCATGTTGTAAATGTTGGCCTCGGGAAGAGGGGTGGTGCATTCGCATGATCGCTTTCCGAGGGGGGTGGGCCCTTAGAAAACCTGGGCCGGCACGGGAACGGAAAGAGCGGGTCCGTGGAGCGGATAATTCACACGGGCTCGGGGGTTCACGGTTCGGCAGCGTATTGGACATAGAGATTGCCATGCATGTTTGTTGGAGCAAGTTGGAGTTCGAGTCATGGTAGGACGGCCGCCGTGGTGATCGCAGTTGTTATGTCACCGTCCGCTCCGAGGAGCCTTGGTGGTCAGAGTGTTTGACGGCACGGTTCGTTCTGGTGAGGCCTCGTAAGATTCTCTTGGAGGCATCTCGGAGTGCCTGTTGGAGGCCTAGTAGGGGGTTTTTGGGCCGTTTGGGGGCCTTCTTGGGCCCTTTTGGACCGTATTGGGGAGCTTGGGCCGGCTTGGGGCGCTCTCGGGGCCCTCTTGTGAGCCTCCTGTGGCTCCCTCGGGGATCTCCTTGGAGGCCATTGGGCCTCTTTTGTGGGGCCCTCATTGGCTCGTCTTGGGGCTCTCCTGGGCCGTCTTGAGGCGCTCGTGGAGCGCTTGGGAGCCTCTGGGGGCGGGCGACCTCGAAGGCCCCCAGGGCCGTGTTTGGCCGTTTTTTACCCGACAAAGCGAGAACCCCAAAATCCTCAAAAAGAAATCAACGGTTTTTGCCTCAGGCGTCCCTCTTGAAGTCCTCGTGGGAGCCTCTTGGGCCGTCTGGGAAGCTCCTTGGACCGTCTTGGGGCTATCTTCGCCCCTTTTGGAGCGCTCTTGTGCTGTCTTGGGGCCTCTTGGACGTCTCTTGTGCCGTCTTGGAGGTATCTTAAGCCGTCTTAGGGGCCTCCTGGGGGTCTCTTGGACCGTCCTGGGCCGACCAACATGGCCCCCCGAAGACGTGTTAGAAAATTCTCCTCCGCCACGCCCCCCCCCCACCCCCAAGGGGGCCAGATCCCTATACAGAACTTCTCTCGCTAGCGTTCTTTCCGACATTACAGAAACCCTAGCAGACAGCGCTTGGCATTCTAGTACGCCCTGACGTTCCAGGGGGCACGGTGGCGGGTCTTGGGCGGCGTATGGACTGTCCAGGAGTCTTGGACCGTCTGGGCGCCGAGCTGCCTGCCACCTGAAGGCTGAGAGACCCTGTAGCCCCAAAGAGGCCTTGGATGAGATCATGCCCCCCCCCGCGACCTTCGATATGCAATGTTTGATCCGGTGGGGGGAATTGAAGGGGGGACGAGTATTGCACGCCTGGGGGCCCCAGGGGCGTTGGCGGATAAGCCGCGTCTAGCGCATAGCAGGGCGTGATGCGCGAAGACAGGAGACCTACGTGGGTCGGTCTCCCCCTCGATGATGATTCTGATGCTGATGATAATTTTGGTGACGGTGGTGGTGGCGGTGGTGATGGTTGCGGCGATGATGTTGGTGACGATGAAGGTAGTGATGGTGATACTGATGATGGTGAGGAGAGCAAATGAGGATGCGGATTAGGATGATGATAAGGGTGAGTATGATGATGAGGACGATCAGGAATTTTATGGTGTTGAGAATGATAATTCGGATGATAATGAGGACGATGCTGATACTGATGATGCTGATAATGATGATGATGGTGGTGGTGATGATGAATGTTGTCGCGATGATGAAGTGATGATGGTGCATGGAGAGGAAGCTGCTGCTGATGCGGATTTTGGTGATGAGGTTAATAGTGATGGTGATGCTGATGAGGATCATCACCCTGATGATAGTGGTGAGGGTGATGATGATGATGTCAGGTGGTGGTGGTTCTGGTGATGCTGCTGATGCTGATGGTGATGGTGATGGTGACGGTGATGATGATGGTCAGCATGATAAGGCGGATGATGCTGTGATGAAGGTGATGGCCTGCGTATAGGTCGGTCTCTTCATCGTCATTATGTGTAAAGTCAGGTGACCTGCGCATGGCAGGTGTGCGTAGAGTCATGGCCGGCGGCGGATCCAGCGCGGGCGTTCAGCGCGGGCAGCGATCCCAGCGCGGGCGTTCAGCGCTGTACGCGGCAGTGGCCCAGAATCGGCCTACATCGAACGATCCGCGCTATCGGAAAGCCGCGGCCGTTGAGGGTTGAGCGACCTGCGCCGACGACGTTGCTCACGTCCTCCACAGGGGCCCCGCAGACTGTGGACAGCTGGAGCCGACCTTCATCTCGGGCCTTCGCCCACGCAGCGGCAAATCCATCGTTGTGCCCCTCCCTGCACGCACTCGAGCAGGTCCGTGCACCGGTCGCCGCAGCGGCGGCCCGGTGGGGCGCCTCCACCATCGCAGCCCACGCGAAGTGGGCCTCACCCAGGGGCTCTGCCTCTGGGATTTTCCAGCGATGCAAGATCGCGCATGGACTTGGAACTAGGTCGGCGGGGCCTGCTCGTGACGGTGGCAGCGCACCGCATGTACATCCTGCCGCTCGCGGCTTTTGCGGCGCAGCTGGACCGTTTACCCTCGCGCCTGCCGCAGACAGCGCAGCGGCTGCTCGCCGTTCTCCGCCCCGGAACCCGTGGCTGGGCCACCACAGGTCTCTTGCAGCACCTGCGGAGCTTGGGGTTCGCAGCTGACCTGCCAGATGCGGACGTCATGTCGTAGGGGGCCAACAGTCGCATCGATCGATGGGATAGCTCATGGGCCCAGTGGTTCGACGGCGAAGCGGGCCTCGAAACGCAGCGCCGGCTCGAACGGTGACGACGAATCGAGGGGCTCTCCGTGGACCTCCTGCTGCATGGCTCTCCCACCTCTCCGGCCCCGAAAAAGCGCTGGCAGCGCCGATGCGGAGAGGTATTTTGCCCTCGTGACGCGCAGGGCCTCTTTCGGTTTCTGCGCCAGACAGGACCCGCTGCCCTCGCTCGCTCTTCTCGGGCACCGGGCGCAGCGCCTTGAAAGTATCCTGCGTCGCAACTGTGCCGCCCTGCGCGTGGGCCTGTGCACCCAAGGAGTCCTGGATGGCTGGGCTGCCAGCCATCATCGCCGTGTCTGTTCGGCTGCGCCACTACGCCGACTGCCCCGTCGCAGCGCGGGTCTACCGCACGCAGCTGTGCCTTTACCAGGGTCCTTCGGCAGCAAGGCGCGACGAATTCTCACGGTCGGGCGGGGCGCCGTCGCACACCGGGGCCTTCTGCGCTTTGGAGGCCTCCTGGCCGCGCTTGGCTTTCAGCGCCCTGTTGCCCGAACGATTCGCCAATCTCGCCTGCGAGGGCAGCAGCGATACCTACAGCATCCACTACTTCCCCCGCTGACTGCAGATGTGACAGGGCCGTTCTGCCCTCGCCTCCCCTCTCCGTGCTCCTTTCTGTTCCGCTCGGCCTCCTCGTCCTCGTGCGCCCACCCGCGCCCCGAGCAACATTGGGCCTCGATTGGCGCTGTACACCTACTTTTGTTGTTTGGCCATGCGGGCCCCCTGTTCGGCACTGGGCCCCCGGCGCCCCCGGGTCGGCGCCCGCCAGACAACCATGAGGGTTGCTTTCGTTTCTCTCTCTCTCCTTTCCCCGGCCCCCGTATGCCTGCAGCGTCCCCTCCTTCCCTCTGTTTCCTTCGCCTTTTTCGCCCGTGTTCGTTGCCCCGTGCAACCTCTGTGTTGTGCATCGCGCCGCCTGATAAGATCCCCCTGGGAGGACGCGCGTGGTCAGCCTGAAGCCCAGACTTGCAAGAGTCGGCTGGCGTTGACCTGGGATTTGTTTTGTTCGAATTGTTACCTCCCTCCTCCCCGCCATCTCGCCTCCTCGTCTTGTTAGTCGCGTATCTAATCACTGACTGTTCCCAACCATCCTGTGGTGTTGGATCCTCGTTTTGAAGAGACGGTCCCCGCGTTCTCCTCCCTTCGTCCTTCCTTCCTTTCTCCTCCTCCTCCTCCTCTTCCCGCTCCTCTTTCATGTCGTGGCCCCATAGAGAGCTCCACCGAAGGCTTCAGCGGGACCGCCCGCATGCGTCATCCACCACCCAGCACAGCGCTTCGTGGCCCCACAGGGAGCTCCACCAAAGGCCCCAGTGGGACCGCCCGCATGCGTCATCCACCACCCAGCACAGCATTCCGTGGCTCCATAAGGGACCTCAACCGAAGGCTTCACTGGGACCGCCCGCGTGCGTCATCCACCACCAAGTACAGCGCTTCGTGGCCCCATAGAGGGCCCCACCGAAGGCCCCAGTGTGACCGCCCGCATGCGTCATCCACCACCCAGTACAGGTACAGCGCTTCGTGGCCCCATAGGGGGCTCAACCAAAGGCTCCAGTGGGACCGCCCGCGTGCGTCATCCACCACCCAGCACAGCGCTTCGTGACCCCATACATAGGGAGCTCCACCGAAGGCCCCAACGGAACCGCCCGCGTGCGTCATCCACCACCCCGTACAGCGTTTCGTGACCCCTTAGGGAGCTCCACCGAAAGACCCACTGGGACCGCCCGCGTGCGCCATCCACCACCCAGCACAGCGTTTCGTGGCCCCATAGGCGGCTCAACCGAAGGCTCCAGTGGGACCGCCCGCATGCGTCATCCACCACCCAGCACAGCATGTCGTGGCCCCATTGGGGGCTCAACCGAAGCCTCCAGTGGGACCGCCCGCATGCGTCATCCACCACCCAGTACAGGTACAGCGCTTCGTGGCCCCATTGGGGGCTCAACCGAAGGCTCCAGTGGGACCGCCCGCGTGCGTCATCCACCACCCAGTACAGCGTTTCGTGTCCCCACCGGGAGCTCCACCTAAGGACTCCGTGGCGGAACCCGCATGGCGGCCCAGTGGCGGTGTTGCACGGCGGCGATTGTCGATGGCCGGAGGATTTTCGTCGTATTCGACGTAACTTATTGAGGGCGCTTTCGGGCCGCGCATCGCGGGCGGGAGCCAGCCTGTTCGCTTTTTCTGCTCCGCGCAGCGGACGACCCGCGCGCGTCGCCAGGACCCTTTCGGGGCGACCAGCGCGCGTCACGGGGACTCCGTGCGGCGCCGCGCCTGCAGCTTTGGACGTGGGCGTGACCGGGCAAAGAGGGAGAAGAAGAACGGGAAGGAAGCGGGCGCGATCCTCGTGAGAGGCGCGCCGACATGGGCGTCGACCTTTATGCACGTAGACTCACAGGCGTGCAGACATCATCCACAATCAGGCCCATCCGTTCTCAATCTCTCGCACACAGACTTGTCGTCTTCGCTCGCGTTGTGTGCCCCGCCACGCATGCCGGCACGCCCCTCACACGGTTCGTGGCCCCACAGGGAGCGCGGGCGAAGATGATATCCATGATTGCGGTATGCACAGTTGCCTCTATTAGTTGGGCCCTTCGCCAGGCTAGTTGTGTTGGGTTTTGGGAGTGTTCGCGTGGTGCACGCCCGACTCGTTTTTCAGGCCAAGGCTCACCGCCTGACCTTGCTGCTGGCAGGTCGGCTCGAGCGAAGGTCCCTGATGACCATGCGACCGGTCGACCCGCACTATACCTTGGTTGCTGGAACGTGTGACGTTTTTTTTTGTTGTTCCCCCCCATCGCGTTCTCAAAAGGTACTTCCGTCTCTGCAGATATACCATATACCCGTCTACGGGGGCAGGAGGTGTCCGCCTGGGCCGGCGCCAGCAGCAAGCAGCATGACAACCATGGTTTGACCATCGGGCCTTCGCGGCTGTTCTCCACTGTCTCCCCTCCAAGAGTCAAAGAACACGACGACCCACGCGGCATCATAAGCCAATGTCGGTGTCGTCGCGACGGGAATTTGCCGGTGGTTTGTCTCATCCTCATCGGTTTGCTCCTCTCGGCGGCGAGGGGGGGGGGACGTGAGAAAGGGCGGGCCTGTCCAGAAGGCTGGGGAGTCCCCCGGCCTTCTGAGAAGTTTATTAAGCCCTCCCCGAAGACACGGAACATGTTTCAGAAGGCGAGAGGGGTCTCTTGAGAAGTTCACTGGGCCCCCCCCGAAGACATGGACAATTTCTCAGAATGCGTCCTGACAAGCGCCGCCGCCTTCTGAGGAGGCCTTCTCCTCCCCACTTCCCCTCCTCGCCCGCGGCCGATGCTCACCCCACGCGGCCATGAAGGAACAGGGTCCTGAGGGAACCGTTTCCTGGTCCCCGGGGGTTTTCCAGGATCTGCTAGTGGTGCCCGAATCCTGTGCTTTTGACGCTCCCCAGGCCCGTGGAGGATGGCAGAGGCCAGAAATTGGCGAACGTCAGTCCACCACCCCCCTCCACCAGTGTCGTCATCCTTGACGCGCCCAAGCTCGATCCGATCGGTCCGATTCCACATCGCGGGTCGATCCGATTACGTCCCGATTTTCCGACGATCCGATGCTGCCCGGTGTCTGCGTGGCGTCGTTGTCCTTGCGGGCACGGCCGATCCGATGCGATGCCGGAGCGATGCGGCCCGACCCGGCGTACGTTCCGAGTCGATCCGGTTTCGCGTTCCGAAGTTGGTCGCTCCTGCCTCATGCCAGCTGTGGCAGGTGCTGTGGCTCCACGTTCCAAAGTGCGGCACGTCGTTCATCTACGTGCTGGCCGATGAGGGAGCAAAGCCGCCCCATCTCCCCATACACTGCGTCGAAATGCGCAGGACCAACATCTGCATGAACAGTTTCTCTTGGGGGTCCGCGCGGATTTCTTGAATCGGCGCTGGGGCCCCCTGGCGGCGCCTCCGGCGCCGCCCCAGGCGCCCTCCGCACGCCAGGGAGGGGGATCCAGCGTTGTTCCGAGAAATACGCGCGGACCTCCGAGAGGTTATGTCTATGGCGATACCCCCGCTCCTTCTTCTCCTCCTCCTGGCTCCTGGTTCCTGGTGGCCTGAGAGTTTGTCTAACGCGGCCCTCCCCCCCACGGGCCCCAGGGCTGGTCGGCCATGGGGGGTGATCGGACTAATGGCCTGGCGAATTTCAAGGTTGTTTAGGTGGGTAAGCTATGAAAGGTACAGGTAGACGACAGCAGAACGCGGAGAGAGAAGGAGTCGAGAAGGGACAACACAAACGCATGAGTTCTGCTCCTTCTCCTCCTCCTCCTCCTCCCTGTCCTCCTCCTCCTTCTTTTAGGACTTCTGAACGGTCCAGGGCATGTTCAGCACAGTCCCACCCTGTTCGGTTCCCTCCTCGGGTGCGTCTCCTGGAGGGCAGCTTCTGTGTGCGGCGCTCACCACGAGGGAGGTTGTGGTCGGACCGACTTGTAAGATCGAGGTCGGGGAGAGTACCCTAAATGTGTTTCGTGCTTGTTGGACGTTATTGTGCATCTTGGGGGAGGGTGCCCTCGAATTTTCTTCAGTCTGGCCAGCGGAATTCAAGGATGTCATTATGTGAGAGGGCAGGCCGTATTACGATTTGTAGTTGCATCGAATATTCGCGGGATTTTGTCCGTCTATCAAATTGCGGCCGCTTCTTGTATCCACCGCGGATTCGACGCGGACCCGGCGTAGACTCGCGAATGCGACGCGGATTCGATGCGGATTTGACTTAATCAGCGGCGCGATGAGACAGATGAGGTCGCACAAAGATGCAGCGCAGCTCTCACCAGAGAAGGAAGAGCCACCACCACCAGCGAGGGGTTGCTGGGCGCTCCTCACCCCCCCGAGCTGGTGGCACCCCGTTCCGGGCGCGCACCCAGAGAGCGCCGGGAGCGGAGTGCCACCAGCTGGGATGTGTGGTTGTTTGAGAAGGGTGATTCTACCGAGTTCTGGTGGTGGTAGCGGCTCTTTTCGGGGGAAACCAAAAGGTGCTGATACCGCTACTCCCCAGACCTCTCCCGGGGGGAGGTTCTGACCAGAAGTTCGAGGCGAAGCCAGCGGTGGCGACGAGGGCTTCCCAGGAGGCCCAGAAAGGCGAAGACGAGGGCAGGGCAGCGGTGTGGGGTTGCTTTTCATCATCCGAGATTGTTTGCTCTCGTGATGTAGGTCGCGTGGGCCTGCCCGTCCTCCCAGCAGCCGAACTGCGACATCGCCATCGGCTCCGTCGGGAGGGCGTGCAAGGATCGCAGGGGCTGGGCGGGTTGGGGCGACGAAATCCATACATATCCACTGCTCCCTGGCCAGGCCCACCTGGAACCCATGAGCTGTGTATACGCCTTGCTGGGCAAGCCAGGGGGGCGTGGCGTATACACTGCTGCTGGGCTTAAGTCGGGGGCGTCTCCCTCTACAGAAAGAGTAGCCAAGAATAGTCAATAGCCTGGGGGCGAATTTCCAACTATTGTTGCACATGTGTTGCACATGTTCTGGTTACTTTTGAACTTGTCATTCAAAATCCTCCTGTATGGGGGACATGCGCGACCTAATGCTGGGCTCAGGAACGGTGGCTATGTATAGGTCTCGTCGCCATACAGGGGGGCCGCGCGCAGAACGAAGCGCGCAGAGGGCCCCCATTCGGCGCAGGGACCCGCGCTTCCCCCCTCGGGCCCGCTCGCCCTCGGGCCTTGGCATCGCTGAGACGTGTGCGTATTTTTCTCGGCGAGCACCCTCGAGGAGCTCATTCGACTCCTCCGAATCGATCCGGTTCGATTTCGATGGCTCCCGATTCCTAATCGAGTCGACTGAGGGTTCCGATTTGCGTTCCGATGCCTCGTTGGACGCATACCAGCCCGCCGATTTACGCCGATTCGACTTTTCCCCACTCGGCTGCCGATATCCGTCGATCCGATTAATTTTGATCGCCGATCCGGCTGTGGCATCGCTCGAACGTGTGCGTCATTTTTTGGGGAGCACCATCGAGGAGCATCTTGGGCCACACCTTGCTACACAAATGCACGCACGACATCGACAAACGCACGGGGAATGGAAGTCCGAGCGATGGCCACGGGTTGGATTGGGCGCCGCTTGATGGGGGGCGAATCAACCCAGAGATCGAATGCATTGGCAAAAAACAAGACGACGGTTTTTCGCCGTGATCGGCGTCATGAGGCCCTGGCCAAGCCCAGGGGTTGTAAAACAACGGCTCAGGATGAACAACTGGCCCTGGGGAAAGGGTCGGGACTTCCGGTAGCACGCATTGAAAAAGTCGGATCTCTAGGAAATGGAGGGGCGATATTTGGGGTGGGGAACGGTGTCTTTCTCAGACCCTAAAGGCTCCCTTTGATGGACCTGGTAGGGCCCCATCATGGGCCCTACATGACACACCCTGCATGCCTCCACGGTGCCATGGGTTCCTCGGGTTTTGATGGTCTTGCGGTGGAGAGCGTGACGCTCCCACACCAAACATCGGTGGACGTCATGGGGTTCCAGGGTTGGGTTGCTCGTGGAAGCTCTCTTGTGGTCGAGCTCCCACTGCACCCCCCTTTGGGGCTCGACGGACACGCCGAGACGCCCAGTCGGCCGAGGCTTAAGCCGGCCCTGTCCCTTTACAGGGGGAACAGTCAAAAATAATGTTTAAAAGATGGTCTGGGGACAATTGTTGTTGAGTATAGTTTGGCCATTTTGGAGTATTGTGTGAATATGTTTTTTTTTTTTCCCAACCCTCCTGCGTTGGGTTTTCGTTTTGAATAGAGCACTGCTCGCGCGTCTCCTTCCCACCCCCTCCCGTCCCTCTCTTCCCCCTTGCCTTTCGCCTCGCTCGTCGCTGCGTGCCAGCTGGGGGGCTGCGATCTGTGAAACTGTCGCCACTTTCGAGGGCTGCTGGGGGGCCCAGCACAGTGTGCACCCGCGGCGGATTCAAATGTGACCTCGCAATCCCTGGGGGGCTGCGATCTGTGAAACTGTCGCCACTTTCGAGGGCTGCTGGGGGGCCCAGCACAGTCTGCACCCGCGGCGGATTCAAATGTGACCTCACCATCCCTGGGAGGCTGCGATCTGTGAAACCGTCGCCACTTTCGAGGGCTGCTGGGGGGCCCAGCACAGTCTGCACCCGCGGCGGATTCAAATGTGACCTCGCCATCCCTGAAAGGGGCGGCGATCTGTGAAACTGTCGCCACTTTCGAGGGCTGCTGGAGGGCCCAGCACAGTCTGCACCCGCGGCGGATTCAAATGTGACCTCGCCATCCCTGGGGGGCTGCGATCTGTGAAACTGTCGCCACTTTCGAGGGCTGCTGGGGGGCCCAGCACACTGGGTACCCACGGCGGATTCAAATGTGACCTCGCCATCCCTGGGGGCCTGCGATCTGTGAAACCGTCGCCACTTTCGAAGGCTGCTGGGGGGCCCAGCACAGTCTGCACCCGCGGCGGATTCAACTGTGACCTCGCCATCCCTGGGGGGCTGCGATCTGTGAAACTGTCGCCACTTTCGATGGCTGCTGGGGGGCCCAGCACAGTGGGTACCCACGGCGGATTCAAATGGGACCTCGCCATCCCAGCACAGTCTGCACCCACCGCAGACTCAAATGGGACCTCGCCATCCCTGAGGGGTTGCGATGTATGAAACTGTCGCCACTTTCGAGGGCTGCTGGGGGGGCAAGCACAGTCTGCACCCGCGGCGGATTCAAACGTGACCTCGCCATCCCTGGGGGGCTGCGATCTGTGAAACTGTCGCCACTTTCGAGGGCTGCTGGGGGGCCCAGCACAGTCTGCACCCGCGGCGGATTCGAATGTGACCTCGCCATCCCTGAAAGGGGCGGCGATGTGTGAAACTGTCGCCACTTTCGAGGGCTGCTGGGGGGCCCAGCACACTGGGTACCCACGGCGGATTCAAATGGGATCTCGCCATCCCTGGGGGGCTGCGATCTGTGAAACTGTCGCCGCTTTCGAGGGCTGCTGGGGGGCCCAGCACAGTGGGCACCCACCGCAGACTCAAATGGGACCTCGCCATCCCTGGGGGGTTGCGATGTATGAAACTGTCGCCACGTTCGAGGCCTGCTGGGGGGCCCAGCACAGTGGGTACCCACGGCGGATCCAAGTTAGACCTCGCCATCCCTGGGGGGCTGCGATCTGTGAACCTGTCGCCATGTTCTTACCTCGCTCGTCGCTGCGTTTCGAGGGCTGCTGGGGGCTGCGATCTGTGAAACCGTCGCCACTTTCGAGGGCTGCTGGGGGGCCCAGCACAGTGGGTACTCACCGCAGACTCAAATTGGACCTCGCCATCCATGGGGGGCTGCGATCTGTGAAACTGTCCCCACTTTCCAGGGCTGCTGGGGGGCCCAGCACAGTGGGTACCCACGGCGGATTCAAATTGGACCTCGCCATCCCTGGGAGGTTGCGATATGTGAAACTGTTGCCACTTTCTTACCTCGCTCGTCGCTGCGTTTCGAGGGCTGCTGGGGGCTGCGATATGTCAAAGGGTCGCCACTTTCGAGGGCTGCTGAGGGGCCCAGCACAGTGGGTACTCACCGCAGACTCAAATGGGACCTCGCCATCCCTGGGGGGCTGCGATCTGTGAAACTGTCGCCACTTTCGAGGGCTGCTGGGGGGCCCAGCACAGTCTGCACCCGCGGCGGATTCGAATGTGACCTCGCCATCCCTGAAAGGGGCGGCGATGTGTGAAACTGTCGCCACTTTCGAGGGCTGCTGAAGGGGCCCAGCACAGTGGGTACCCACCGCAGACTCAAATGGGACCTCGCCATCCCTGGGGGGCTGCGATATGTGAAACTGTCGCCCCTCTTCGAGGGCTGCTGAGGGGCCCAGCACAGTGGGTACTCACCGCAGACTCAAATGTGACCTCGCCATCCCTGGGGGGCTGCGATCTGTGAAACTGTCGCCACTTTCGAGGGCTGCTGAGGGGCACAGCACAGTGGGTACCCCGCACGTCTTTCTCCTGCTCTTCGTTCCCGAGTCCCCATGTCCTCTTCGAGCCTGTAGTTGTCGCCCCTCGTTCTTGTATGGTTCTCCTGCGCATCATGCCCTTGGCGCGTGTCCCAAGTAGCTTACATATCAAACAACGGATCCTGCAATTTGATTGTCCGTGCAAGTTTCGGCCAACTCCTCGTTTCCCATGATACAAATGGGTTGGGTACGTCACAGGTAATTATTGTTTGTCGAAATTCCCCCTGTATGGGGGACACGCCCGACCGACTTAAGCCGTGGCGCTCGGTGCTCGTGCGCCCCGGCGGCCGCAGCAGGGGGGTAAGCATCACAGCGCCTGCGCGGGGGGGCAGCCGTCGCCGAGAACCTTGGCGCCGTGGCTGGCCAGACTGCGCGGTGCACGCGTCGATCGAGAGGCGAGGAGACACACAGGCGCAAGAAAACATGGACCTTCAAGAAAACATAGTGGTGGGGGGAAGACGAGAGTCGGGGAAGTATTGGAAAAGATATGGTGAATCCTGGGATTTGTGTGCGCGCGTGTGTATGTGTGTGGTGTGTGTGTGTGTGTGTGTGTGTGTGTGTGTGTGTGTGTGTGTGTGTGTGTGTGTGTGTGTGTGTGTGTGTGTGTGTGTGTGTGTGTGTGTGTGTGTGTGTGTGTGTGTGTGTGTGTGTGTGTGTGTGTGTGTGTGTGTGTGTGTGTGTGTGTGTGTGTGTGTGTGTGTGTGTGTGTGTGTGTGTGTGTGTGTGTGTGTGTGTGTGTGTGTGTGTGTGTGTGTGTGTGTGTGTGTGTGTGTGTGTGTGTGTGTGTGTGTGTGTGTGTGTGTGTGTGTGTGTGTGTGTGTGTGTGTGTGTGTGTGTGTGTGTGTGTGTGTGTGTGTGTGTGTGTGCGTGTGCGTGTGCGTGTGCGTGTGCGTGTGTGTGTTTAAGTTGAGCCCCTCCAGAGATCCCCCCCACGTCCGCCGGCGCGCGAACGGGGGGGAGGGGCAAGAGAGGGGGCGGGCTTCCGAGAAGAGCGCAGGGGGCCCTCTAGAAAAGGGCCCAGGGGTCCAGGGTGGAGTCGGGCATGCCGTTCTTGCAGCAAGAACCTTCAAAAACGGTGCAGAAATCGTTCGGGGACGCTGTTTCATGATTTACCTACTCTGTTTCAGCATGTATTGGCTATGCTTACTTTTCTCCTCACCACATCCGCCTGTAGGGGGACATGCCCGACCTAAGTCCAGGGTCTTCCAGGACGGCGTCTCAGAAGCTAGCGGGGCTTTCAAGAGGCCCCCCGTGCATGCCCCCCTGCTCTCTCCGAAGCCCTCCAGGCGTCTCAGCGGGCCGCCCGCCCGCATCGCCCCTGTGCGACGCCAGTGCTCGCGCCGCCGCCAGGAGCTGAAGCACCTGAACTGCGCGGGGCACTGGGTGATGGGGAACCAGGCCTTCGAAGCGCCACGGTCGCCTAGCTAGCCGCTCTGCGGCGCCCGGCGTGCAGAGGGCGCCCAGGGACAGCCAGGCAGCCCTTCCACCCTCCTCCCGCCGTCCCTTTTTCCTACCCCCCCCCTTCCTCGTGCTCCTCCTCCCTCCTCCTGATCCTCCTCCTCCTCCTACCCCACCTCCTCCTCCTCCTCCCCTCCTCCTCCTCCTCCTCCTCCTCCTCCTCCTCCTCCTCCTCCTCCTCCTCCTCTTTCTCCTCCTACTCCTCCTCTTCCTCCCCCTCTCCCTCCCCTTCCCCCTCCTCCTCCTCCTCCCTCCTGATCCTCCTCCTCTTCCCCCCCTCCCCCTCCTCCTCCTCCCTGCCACCCCCTGGCGGAGAGCAGGTCAAGAATCAGCTTGGAGGAGAAGGGCCCTGGAGGAGACGCGCCCGCGAGTTGTTTCGCTGCGCTCGGCCTCTACAGAGGGCCGCACCCTGGCGGGACCGCAGAGCACGACTCGGGATGACGAGGCGCTCCTCGGACAAAAAAGCCTTGGGTGCCGGGGCCGCGTCCACCAGGGCCTTTGCTCTCACCCGGGGGGGGCCAAGAGGGGGTGATGACTAGGGGGGGGAGGGACATCGTGGCGGGGGCCATGGTGTCTCCCCAGATGTCATGGCGCCTCTCCTCATTTAAATCCGTCCCAGCCCCCCCCCCCGAGCCGCGCACGCGCCGCCGGCCATGATTTGCGTCCCCGCTCTTGTCAGGAGGGGAAAAAAACACACCGACACAATTGAGCGTCGAGGCCCCCGAACACATCGGAAACTATGGGGAATCCTTTTATTGGTGTGTATTTATTGTAGTGGCCTTCGGCCAGTGCCGCCGATCCGGGGCGCTCCGACTGATGTGATCCTTCTTCGCCCTCGTCCCTCATCTCTTTTTCCCTCCACTACTCTCACTCAGCATTTACCCAGTGGCCGTCGGCCTATCCCGCCACCGTGCGTGGGTGGTGGGTCAGAGGCCTCATGGATGCTGGTTGGGATCTCGTGGTTGGCTGGGACTTCTGGGGGCCTCTTGGGCGCCTCTTGGGGCTTCTTGGGGGCCTCTTGGGCCTCTTGGGGCCACTAGAGGGCCTCTTGGGGGTCTCTTGGGAGCCTCTTGGGGCTTCTTGGGGGCCTCTTCTGCGCCCCTTGGGGCCTCTTGGAGGCCTCCTCGGAGCCTCTTGGTGCGGGAGGGGTGGTACTCGAGTTCGGAACCCCCTCGGAGGCCACGATCCTTGTGAGGGGTGTCAAAAAACGCATCCGCCGGAAACTCGCCCCCCCCCCCCCCCACCCCCCCTTCCCCGGCAGAGCCACCCCGGCAACCCCCCCAGAGGCTGAGGCTCAGCCTCGAGGCTGTAGCTGAGACTCCTTGAAACTCACACGCCGGATCGGCGGCCACCCCGGCAACCCCCCCAGAGGCTGAGGCTCAGCCTCGAGGCTGTAGCTGAGACTCCTTGAAACTCACACGCCGGATCGGCGGATTTGTGTGTCCCGGGGGCCCCTTCATCTTGGCCGCCCCCCTCCTGGCCGCCCCCGATCCTGCGCCCGAGATCCGACCGATGGTGCACCACAGTTTGCGGGTGCTCGCGTTCGCCCTGCCTCTCGTGCGCCAGGGCGTTGGGGGGAAGCTCCTCCTCCTCCTCCTCCTCCTTCTCCTCCTCTCTCCCTCCTCCTCCTTCTCCTCCTCCTCCTCATCCTCCTCGCCCTCCTCCTCCTTCTCCTCCTCCTTTTCCATCACTCCCATTGTCATGGTTATCCTGCTGGGCCCACCTGGTCTGGCAGCCATGCGACCGTGGTGAAAGCGGGGCAGGGGAGGTTCGTGTCGGTCTTCCGGCAGCCGGAGCAGAGGACGTAGGTGGTCCCAAGGGGGGTCATCAGAGAGCAAGGGGGTCGCCCCCTCCTTCCAGAGATCGAGGGGCGAGGAGGAGGGAGGGTCGAGGACCGAGCAGGGGTTTGGCGAGGGGAGTCTCGGGGGCTCTGAGGAGACTGCGACACCCTCAGTGCTGACCCCCGTCGGCATTGCCCGAAGGATGGTGTCCCATTTCGGGCGGACGGTAGCGGGGGGGCAATCGACGCGGGTCGTCGAAGGACCGCTCTGTCCTTGCACCTTTTGGGTGCGGGGTGGCGATTGGGGGCCCCTGCAGGGCGCCTTTCGTGCGCTCCGATTGCACTCGAGGAAGACAAAACGCCAGATACGTAAACTTGTGGCGCTGCGCGCGGATTTTGTAGATCCACGCTGGGGCCCCCCCGCCCTCGCGGCGCCTCCAGCGCCGCCCCTGTCGCGCTCCGCGCGCCAGGGAGGGGCGCCGCCAGCGCAGATCCAAGAAATCCGCGCGGAGCGCCAAGAGTTCATGTTTTAGGGCGTGCTCTTTCTTCTTCTGAGCACCCTTGCTTGTGGCTCCTTCTTTGCACCCTTGCTTCGTCGAAGGGCCGCTCTGTCCCCTCACCTTTTGGCTGCGGGGGGCGGGTGGGTGGGTGGGGCGATTTTCGGGGACCCCCAAAGGGGCTGGTGACCACACCGTGTGTTGAGTCGGTGGGGATTCGGGGGCACCGCACGGCTTTGAGACTCGGGCAGTTCCCCGAGGACGTCTCGGGCGACGGGGGCCTCCGGGGCCCCACAGACCGTGCGGTGGCCTGCCGTGCGGTGACTTGCCTCTCGGGGTGCCGAGGCCACCGAACGGTCCGCCACCGCACGGCCTTTGTGGGACCCCCAAGATCTGGGAGCCCCGTCGAGGGCGCCCCGCGTGCGCTCCGGCCGCACCCCGCGCTCGCGGCCCCTCCGTCGGCGCCCGCCCGGCCGTTACTGGTTCAGGGGCGCCAGGCTGCGCCAGCCGTGGCCGGAGTTCATCCGGGACGTGGAGGGCTGCCAGGCGAAGGCCTTGACGGGCCACGGTTGCATCGTGCCGTACGCGCTCACGGATGCCGACATCGAGGAGTTTCCTCCTCCTCCTCCTCCTCCTCCTCCTCCTCTTCCTCCTCCTCCCTTCCCGCCACTCTCGCTCCAACTCCTCCACCTCCTCCTCCTCCTCCTCCTCCTCCTCCTGTTCCTCCTCCTCCTCCTCATCATCCGTTTCGTCTCCTCTTTTTCTCGTGCTCCTGCTTACAGCCAACTCGCATTTACAGGCAACCCGCATACAAACTTCGAGGTACTTTCCAAGGGCACCCTTGTATCCTTCCCTTCGGCGCATCCTCGGCCGCCTTCGCTGGCCGCGCCCCGCTCGCAGAGTGTCGGCATGGCCTTCCAAGGCCCTTGCATCCTTACCGCGCATCCTTATGATACGAGCTGACTGTAGTAGGGATGAGCTGCTTTCCAAGGTTACCCTTGCACCGTTCCCATTCAGCCCATCCTTGGTTATTCTCGCTGAACGCGCCCCGCTCGCAAAGTGTCGACATGGCCTTCTAAAGCCCTTGCATCCTTACCGTGCGTCCTCATGGTACGGGTTGACGGTTGTGTCCGTCACCGACATCAGGGGGTTCTCCCCCGCCAGAGGTTGAGGGACGATCTCCGAAGTTCCCAGAGACACGGCGATCCAGTTTAATCTGGCTCAACATGAGCAAGTCTGGCTCGATGACTCCAGGATGGACCCCAAATAGATATCCACCTGGGTTTTATGATGTTCCGGGAATATTCACTGGGGTTCATAATGTTCCCCCGGGAAATTGTGAAATTGGGTTTATAATGTTTCGGGGATATGGCTTAGGGTTCATGATGTTATTTTGGAACGTTATGAATTTCGGTTTCTAATGTTTTTGGGGCCCCAGCTCTGGAATCCCAAGACAACGAATTGGGTTTCTTATGTTGGAATGATACTAGTGATCATTTTCCCCCACCCCCCCGTCACCAGGGTGAGAATCAGTATGTTCGAGTATTGACCCTGATTTACTTTTCCCTTACATTATAAACTCGGGTCTATTATTCTGGAAGGATGATAATCGAGCTGGGGTGGGGACTATTTCTTACCCGGACATTGTATATCGGGTTCGTCATTCCGGAAGGAGAATAATCGAGCTGGGGGGGGGTCGAGTTGGTTTATTATTTCTTATTTTATCCCCAAACCCATGCGCCTGACAGGGATAATATCAGCCGCGGTTTATTATTCTGGAATAGTGAACCTGGGTGCTCACTCTGGAAAGACAATAATGCAGCGGGTGGGGGTGACCGACAACTCCGCCATGAGATAATTAATTGAGGTTCATAACCGAATGATAACAGACTTAGGTTTATCTTCCTTAGGTAATGAACACGGTCGACAAGGATTTCACGGGTGTCCTCAATGACTCCGTTCAGTCAGGTTGAGTCCGAGCTAATCCGGGCCGACGACATCTCAATTGGAGTTCAATTGCCCTTTACCGTTCCCACGTTGTCCTCCCAGGAGTTGCCTCTCTTCTCCCTTGAGATCCGACGTGCCAAGACAGCATGCAACATCGTGGACAGTCGCGACCAGAGTCCTAGACCCCATCTTTCTGCACAATTCTTCGAGCCGGATCGACCCGCAATGGTCCCCGGGCCCGTTGCCTGGCGAAACCGCCGGGTGTGAAACAATGAGACGCCCAGATCTCAAGGTTGTCGTCGTCGTCGTTTTCTTCGTTCTTCTTCTCCTCCTCCTCCCAGCTGGCCCTTCATTTTGGAGGGACTTGAGGGTGAACGTCTTTTAACTCATTAGTTTGCCGATCGGCGCGGGCCCTCGCACCCCTCCCCCCCCCCATGGCGTGGATCTCTTGGCTGTTTTTCATTGCTGCTGCCAGACGCATCCAGCAGAGGTCCAGAGCCGGCCCCCCTTTCGCCCAGTGTCGAGAGGCCGAACAAGAAAACGTTGGCGAGACGAAAGAGCCTGCTTTGTCGGGCGGTCACGGGGTGTGGCGACCGCCCTTGTTTCTTTTCCCCTCCCCTCGGAAGCCGTGCTCAGCAAAACGTCCTCAAACATTATCCTCCTCCTCCTCCTCCTCCTCCTCCTCCTCCTCCTCCTCCCCCTGCTCCTCCTCCTCCTCCTCCTCCTCCTCTCCTCCTCCTCCTCCTCCTCTCCTCCTCCTCCTCCTCCTCCTCCTCCTCCTCCTCCTCCTCCTCCTCCTCCTCCTCCTCCTCCTCCTCCTCCTCCTCCTCCTCCTCCTCCTCCTCCCAGCTGGCGGTCCACCGCGTGCGGTTCGGCTTCGCCTTCGTCGGCGTCCTGGAAGAGTGGTCGCAGACGGTGCGGCCTGCCCCGAGCAGTGTCAAAAGCCCCCCCCCCCCCCCAAGCAAACGCCCCAGCGAGCGACCGCGGGCGCGCTGGGCAAGGCCGACCACTACGGTAGTTTCGTGCGGCGTTGGCGCGCCAGCGACGCAGGCGAAGGCGTTCAAGGTTGAATCCTGCGACGCGGAAGCACCGATGGACACGCTGACGCCTTTGGGCCCACCTGACTTCAACCTTGAACGATCGGGCCTAGAAAGACTAAAGGTTGAACGATCGACGCGGTGACAAAAGCCTTCGCGCGCGCCGACGCCGCGCGAACCTATTCTCAGTAATAAATTAAGAACCCCCGGGGTTTTCGTTAGCACCGCACCGTAATGAAATGATTATTGGGGCCTGATTTCGCGGAAAGATACCTTTAGAACCGCGCAAAAGAAAGGAACATATATAATTTCAGCGCCTTGGCTCGGGAGGTATCCCAATGGGAATTTGTAGGATTCCTAGATCTTCCTCCACAGGACACCCCCACAGGACTCCCCCGTAGGACTCTCCCATAGGACTCCCCCAAAGCAGACTCGTCTGCGTTCAGAGCAGTTTCTGAGGATGTGTCAGGCGAGGCGCTTGCTTCAGAACCACACGGAGGCCAGATTGCGAGAATGTTTCAGGCGGTTTGCTTGCTTGGGCGGGCAGACTCGTCTGCGTTCAAAGCAGGTTGCGAGGTGCCAGGATAACGCTTCCAGGGTGCTGGAGCGTTAGACTTTCGCGGGAGAGGGGGGGTGGGTTCTTAATTGCCTCTCAGGGTTACCGTATCCAATTCGATGTTGCCCGAGTCCTTAGAGATCCAACGTGCGGATCTAGCGAGGACTCCAGGTAAGGGGAGCAGGCTGGTGACTGGCACCCGAAGCCCCCAAGCATGCGCCTAATCCTCAAGCCAGGTCTGCTTAGCTGGTGTTTCTCCAGGTGACGGAAGTTCCAGTTCATGGAATGGGTCGGGGGAGGCGTCCCCAAGCACGCATCATTAAACCAGTTTCAATTAAACCCAGTCTTGCCAAGGCCCGAAATGTATTGAAAAAAGGAGGACGCCGGTTCTCCGTCGTTCTCGTCCTCTGGGGCCCTCTGGGGCCCTGAGGACCGTCAGAAGACGACTCAGGATAGAACCAGCTGGTCTCCGCTGGAGTGAGTGGAGACTTCTGGGGACCCCGTATTGAAAAAAAAGACATCGGGCACGATAGTTTCACATCGTGTCGACCGGTGACCGATTGCATTCAATTTGGGCGTCGCTGGCGACCCAGAATCGGTCGATGTTGAACGATCTGACGTTTCGGAGACGGCCGATCATTCAAGGTTGCACGATCCCGCGGAGTCAGAAAGCAACGCCGAAGGTCGACACGACACGGACCTGCCGTATTTGGGTTCGCCAGTTCGGACCGCGATTTCGATTCGCTTCGCTTTGATCCGATTTGCCGGCGCCAGCCTGGGCCAGCCAGAGCCAGGCGGTGGCGATCCGATGTCTGTTTGATTCGGGAGCTTCGTTGGCGATCCGATCCGTTTTCGATCCGATCTGATTTAGCGATCTGGCACGGGGAGCGGAATGGCGTGGGGGAGCCAGATGAGGGGAATCAGGAGGGAAACAAACACACAGACACAATTCATCGTCGATTCCCACAGAAAATATGGGAAAATACGGGAAGTGGGGGGGAAGACAAAAACCCAGAAAATATACGAAAACATGGGGAATAGTTTCATTTGTGTGTGTATTTATTTGTGTGTCCTGGGGCCCCTTCAGGGAAGCCTGGTTCCGGCCAGGCTCAGAGGGTTCGGGGAGGACGGGCCCGGCCGCCGCCCGGCATGCCCACAGCACACTGGGAGTGTCAGACAGCAGGGTCCTCCCGTTCTCTTCGGTTTGGAGGCCCTTGCAGATTTGGCTTCTCGCGATATCAGCTTTTGCCCTGATATTCCTGGCCGAGCTGATCAAGACGGGGATTCGGGGAGGGAGTGTGCGGGAAGGGGCATTCGCCGAAGCAGAACCGCGCAGTTCAATGAACATGAACCATTGGAGGTCCGCGCGGGTTTCTTGCATCATCGTTGGATACCCCTTGGCAGCGCCTCCAGCGCCGCTCCCAGAGTTCGCGCGGACCGCCGAATGCTCATGTTCTCCAACTCGTGACTGCACGAGTGGTTCCCCCTTAGGTCCTGAAGCGATTCGGCGGGCGTGCACGGCTTTCGCCCTGAAGGCGGTCGTGGGCGCCCCGCGAGATGGGCGTGCCGCGGTCTCGCTTGGCGGGCAGCCGTGGGCGCCACGAGGGCGCCCCGTGCGCTGGCCGGCTCTGCCGAGGCTTCGCCTGGCGGGCGGCCGCAGGACCTGGCAGGCGCCCTGCGTGCTGTCTGGCCGTGGCGCGGTCGGTGGGCATGGCCCTGGCCTCCACGCGCGTGCGGCGTGTGCGGTGGCCGGCGTGTGACGAGGTCTTGCCCAGCGGGCGCCACGTGGGCGCCTCGCGCGGCCTGCCACGTGCCCATCGGTCGTTGCAAGCAGGCACTCTTGGCTGCCCAGGTTCCAAATCTGCTCTGAGCGCCTTCCTACTCCAATGCTCGAGTGGCTTCACCTTCGCCGTCCTCCTTCTGGGGGGCGGACGGAGCCCGATCTACTTTCAGCGCCTTCCTGCTTCCCGGTTCTGCCTACCTCTTCCGGCCGATGGGCACCGTGCACCACACAGGTTGTACCACGCGGGTTCCAGTGTTCGGCTGGGCACCGCAGGAATCTGTATCCTCACGGGGCTGCGCCCCGCCACGAGAGCGTTTGCGTGCCAAAGCGTTTCCCTTTTGCGGAGCTCGGCGCCCTGGCGCGGACGGCCGACCGACCCCTGCAGCGGGACAGTTTGGCTGCGCGGTTGCCGCCGCGAAAACTGCCTGCTTCACGCTGGCATCGCGCAAAGGCGCCCCCGCAGACGCCACCTGTGGGGGCCCGCCTGGCGAGAACGGGGCCCCACCGCGAGAAGATGACGTGCCGTGCGCTCGGCGAAGGCGAGCGGGCGAGGGCCTGCCTGCCGAGGCCCCCGGCTCGGGGGTGGTGGGCCGCGGCTCGGCGGCAGGCCGGCCACATGGTCTCGGCTCCCGAGGTAGCCGATAGGGGGCCACGTGCGAACCCTACCCCTACCCCCCACGATTTCTGATGGGAGGGTGGGGTTCACTTCGTGCGAGAGCTCCCGAACGAAGTGAACCCCACCCTCCCCCGCAGAAGTCGTGGGGGGTAGGGGTAGGGTTCGCATGTGCCCCGCTAGCCGAGTCGACGGCAAGCCTGCGGGCGGAGAGCACTGGTTTGCTGGAGAGGAGGAAGCAGCAGCTTGCACCACAAGGTGCAGCACACAGCTTGCACCACACAGCTCACACCACACTGCGCGTGCCAGATGTCTTTCGCCACGTGGCCACCACTACATATGTTGCACCTGGTAGGTGTCTTGCGCCGAGACCCGTGAACAACAACGACTCTACACAGCCTACAAATATCACCCTGCGCCGCAACTGTTACACCACATGTATACATATATGTGTATATATACACACGTGTATAAATACACATACGAATATTTTGAATATACACATGTCTGTACGCTGTACCGTTTTTCTTCCAGCACAGCTTAAACCGCGCAGTTTGCACCACTGTCACTGCAAATCGATATTGTAAAGACATTTTGGACGAAATCCGTGTTGACAGAAATGCGTCTGTGATGAACTACAAGTTGAATGTTCAATGGTTTCTACATGGCAGGAAGGACGATGAACGAATAGTGTCAGGTGTGCCTGTTCCACAAGATGTTCGGGGGCAGCTGCAGGCCAGACGAGGCAATGCATTACCGGCAGAATGCAAAAAGAAGGAAGGACGGCGGCGTTGACAGCGACGGCAATTACAACGTATCCGTTCTCAACGGCTACGTCGACAAAGCTGACACTCGCGTCTACGATGCCGCCATGGAGGTGTTCCAGGGCAACCTGAGGAGATATGCAGGATCACGCTCGCCAGCTGGTTGCGAAGCGTTCTGCCTGTGATCAGCGCCTCCGCAAAAAGGTAGCACCATCGTGGCGGTTGGTCTGTGCATCATCCTGCTTCTCCAGAGGCCTCCTGCACCTTGTCTCTAGAGCACCCCAAGGGTCTCCAGCGGCTGCCCTTCTCCAGGGTGGGCGGCGCGAGGCCGCGATGTCATTTTGCCCCTCGTCATCTTCTCCGGATGCTGTTCCTCGTCCTTTCTTCGCCCTCCTCCTTGCCCCTCTCCCGCCGCCACCTCCTCCTCGTCCCTCCCCCTTTTTCTCGCATCCTCGCCTCCTCGTCCTCGCCTCGCCCGCTTCGTGCAGGTCCTCGCCCTCCTCGCCCCCTCGTCCTCTTCGTTTCCCTCGCCCTCGCCTGGTGCAGCTCCGCCTCGCCCTCGTTTTGTCTTCCAGCCTGCCTCCTCGTCCTGTCGGGCTGGGAGCGAGAGCCCGCCCTCGCCGTCCACGAGTCCGTCCGCGCGAATGTGCCGGCGCGGCGGCGGCCTCGGCGCGGGGGCTCAAGGCTGCTGGCCGCTGGTGGCCTCTAGCTGGCCGAGCTCGAGCGACCTGCAGTGTGGTAGTTCGGCGGCGAGCGAGGGGGGGAAGTGAGAAGGAGAAGGCCTTCTCAGAAGGCGGCAGAACTTCTCAGAAGCCCTCGGGCCTTTTGAAAAGTTTTTTCTGTCTTCGGGGAAGGCTTAGAAAACTTCTCAGAAGTCCGGGGGACTTCCGAGCCTTCTGAGAAGGCACGCCTCTTCTCGCTTCCTCACGCGCGGCCGCACGTAGCATACTTATAAGCATGCTTGTAAGTCCGGCAAGCGCAGTTATACGTCTGGCAAGCGCACTCATAAACCGAGCAGCAGGGGCGGAAGCAGTCATAAGTTAGTGAGGGGGCCGTCTACAGGAAGGGGGGGCCACCCAAAAACGCTAACAGCCAGGCCGGGGGGCACAACTAAAATGTAATATTCAAAATTACGTTTTTGTCCGAATGCATGGTTCGGAAAATCCAGAATTATTGTTTGTTGTTGTTTTTGCCCTGAAGGACTGTGTGTGCTTGAATTCAGAAATCGTGATTTTATTGTGGGAAGGCTTCGCCTCTTTCGCCCTTCTGGAAGTGCTGTTGCACGATGAACGCCACGTGCGAAACATGTTTGTGGGGAGTTCCGTGTGTAGTTTCATTCGCGGTTGATCGCGTAGTTGGTTTCGTTACTGTTCGTATCCATCACGGTCCACCCAGCAATAGTACCCAGGCGAAATGTCTTGATCTGGGAAGTGCGGGAACATTCCGTGTAACGAAGAGAAATTGATGGGGAAGCCGTCAAACTGAATTTCGTCCCTGGGCACGCCCGGGCGCGAATGCACATTCGCGGCCCTTGCCGAAACAGGCAGGGCGCAGAAGAATGATGAGGAGGCGGGGGAGGGGGAGGCGGGGGGGGGGAACACGAGGAGGACGAGGACTAAAAGGAAGAAGGGGGGAGCGACGGGAGAAGCAGGAAAGGGGCGAGCAGAAGTATGATGACATTGACTGCGCAAGCTTTGGGGGGGAGGAGGAGGAAGAGGAGGGGGAGGAGAAGGAGGAGGGGGATGAGGAGGAGGAGGAGGAGGAAAGGAGGAGAAAGAGGAGGAGGATTGGGCGAGGAAGAGGAGGAGGAGGAAAGGAGGAGGAGGAGGAGGAGGAGGAGGAGGAGGAGGAGGACGAGCGTACAACGCGCACGCGCGCGTGCGCGCGAGGTGTGATTTCTGCATTGTTCTCAGCGGTCTGGCAACGAAGGGGCCTGGAAACGAAGGGGTTCTTGGGCGGTGACCGAATGGGTGTTCCAGGTAGCGCGGGGCTGCAGCGCGCCAGCCAAGTGGCTCAGCGCGCAGCGCGCCCGCGCGCGCGCGCCGGCGCGAGCTGTGAATTCTGTATCATTTATAATAGAAGTGCCGCAATGTTGGCATGGACGCTCGAGTGGTCCCCTAGCGGAGACCGATTGGATTTCCGATTCACCATGGGTTTGTAGCGCGTCGGTGAAGTGGCTCAGCGCGCAACGCGCCCACGCGCGCGCGCGGGCGCGAGCTGTGAATTCTGTGTTATCCACAAAAGAAGGGCAGTCGTGCTGTCCTGGAAACTAAAGTGGCCCCCCAGCGGTGACCGACTGGATTGTCAAATTGACATGGGGATGTAGCATGTCGGCCAAGTGGCTCAGCGCACAAGTCGCCCGCGCGCGCGGGAGCGAGCCGCCGCTCTGCGTTATCCAGAACAGAAGGGCCGCCATGGTGGCTTCGGAGTTCAAGCAGCCCCTTAGTGGTGGCCGATTTCTTTTTCCAATTTAACATGGGCTTCTAGAACGTCGGCCAAGTGTCTCAGCGCACAGCGCGCCCACGCGCGCGCGCGAGCTGTGAGTTCTACCCGCAATAGCAGGGCCGCCATGCTGGCCTTGGAAATCAAGCGGCCCATTAGCGGTGACCGATTGAATATCCGAGATAGCTCGAGTTTGTAGCGTTTTGGTTAAATGGTTCAGCGTACAACGGGCCCACGCGCGCGCGCGCCCGCTTGCGCTCGCGCGCGCGAGCGTTGAATTCTGTATCACCAACAATAGAATGGCCGCCATGTTTGCTTAGAAACTTAAGTGGCCCCTCAGCAGTAACCGACGGACTTCCAAGTTAGCAAAAGGTCGTAGCATGCCGGTTAAGTTGTGCAGCGCACAGAGTGCCCGCGCCTGTGCGCGCAGGCGCGAGCTGTGAACCCTGTATTCTCCGCAATGCAAATGCCGCCACGTTGGCCTGAGAACTCAAGTGGCACCTTAGCGGTGGCCGATGGTATTTTCCATGTTAAACATGGGTTTGTAGCATGTCGGCCAAGTTGCCCAGCGTGCAAGGCGCCTCGCGCGCGCCCGCGCGCGCGCGCGAGTTGTGAATTTTCGTATTACCCGCAGTAGAAGGGCCGCCATGTTGGCCTGCACACTCAAGTAGCCCCTTTGCGGTGGCTTCCAGCATGTCAGCCAAGTGGCTCAGCGCGCAACGCGCCCGCGCGCGCGGGCGCGAGCTGCGAACCCTGATCCAAAGTAGAAGGGCCGCCGTGTTGGCTTGGAACCCCGGATTGATTTCCAGGTTAGCACTGGTTTGTGGCACGTTGGCCAAGTGGTCCAGCGCTCAACGCACCCACCCGCGCGCGCGCGAGTTGCGACTTCTGGATCACTTGGTTATCCATAATAAAAGGGCCGCCACGATTGCCTGGAAACTGAAGTGCAATCCTATCGTTGGCTGATTCGATTTCCGAGTAACCATGAGTTTGCAGCGTGCCGATTAAGCTGTAAATTCTTTATTGCACGCAATAGAGTGGCCGTCATGTTGGTCTGGAATCCATAGTGGCCCCTTAGCGGTGGCCGATTGGTTTTCCCAGTTTACCTAGGGTTGCCGCATGTCGGCCAAGTTGCTCAGCGTACAACGCACCCGCGCGCACGCGCGGGCGCGAGTTGTGACCTCTGCATCGCTCACAACAGAAGGGCCGCCGTATTGGCTTGGAAACGCAAGTGGCTCTCTAGCGATGGCCGACTGGATTTTCAATTTAACATGGGGTTGTAGCATGTCGCACAAGTGGCTCAGCGTAAAGGACGCCCACGCGCGCGCGCGAGCAGTGACTTACGAACTATCCACACCAGAAGGGCCGCTACGTTTGCTTGGAAACTAAAAGTTGCCCGTTGCGGTAGAAGATTGAATATGCTAGTTAGCACGTGGTTGTGCCATGTTGGCCAAGTAGCTCAGCGTACAAAGCGCCCGCGCGCGCGGGCGCGAGCTGTGAACTCTGTATCATCCACGACAGAGGACCGCCGTGCTGGCCTGGCAATTCAAGCGGCCCCGTGGCGGTGGCCGAATGGATTTCCAAGTTAACATGGGGTTGTTGCATGTCGGCCAAGTGGCTCAGCGCACAACGCGCGCACGCGCCCGCGCGGGCTGTGCATCCTGCACTACCCACAATAGACGGGCCGCTGTCTCCTGGAAACTCATGTGGCCCCTGAGCGGTGACCGATTGGAATTCCGAGTTCACATGGGCTTGTAGCATGTGGCTGAACGCACATAGCGCCCGCGCGCGCGCGCCCCCCCCCCCCGGCGCGTGCGAGCTCTGAAAGCCGTACTACCCGCAATATCGGGCCCTTTATGTTGGCATGGAAGCTCAAGTGGCCCCTCCGCAGTAACCGATTGAACTTCCGAGTTAACATGGGGGTTGTCGCGCATCGGCCAGGTGGCTCAGCGTACACGTCGCCCACGCGCGCGCTAGCTGTGAACTCTGTATTTTTTCCACCGTACAACGGCCACCATGTTGACATGGAAAATCTAATTGGCCAATTAACGGTGACTGATTGCATTCCGAGTTAACATGGGCTTGTAGCATGTCGGTCACGTGGCTTAGCGTACAACGCGCCCGCGCGCGCGAGATGTGACTTCTGGACTACCCACATTAGAAAGGGCCGCCATGTTGTGGCCAGGAAACTCAAATGGTCCCTTAGCGGTGACCGATTGGATTTCGAAGTTAGCATGAGTTTGTAGCGTGTCGGTTACGTGGCTCGATTTACAAAGCGCCACCGCGCGCGCGCGCCCGCGACCGCGCGAGCGCGAGTCGTGAATCTTGGGTTACCCACAAAAGAAGGGCCGCCGTGTTGGCCTGTGAACGAAGGTGGCCCTGAGAGGTGACCGACTGCATCTCCAAGTTAACATGTGGTTGGAGCATGTCGACCATGTGGCTGAGCGCGCAACGCGCCCACGCGCGCGCGGGCGCGAGCTGTGAATTCTGTTGTGCCCACAATAGACGGGCCGTTATGTTTGCCTGGGAACTCAAGCGGCCCCTTCAGCGGTGGCCGAATGGATTTCCAAGTTAACATGGGGTTGTAGCACGTCGGCCAAGTGGCTCAGCGTACTACGCGCGCGCGCGGGCGCGAGCTGTGCATTCGGCGCGCGGCGGCCGCGGGCCTTTCTGCGTGGGAAATAAACGCAATATGCGAGCGCGGAAATGCAGCCACACGCACTGTGGCCATGGGCCACTACGT